GCTTCAAAGCCTTCCAAGATCAAAAATTATCGCACAAGTGCTTAAAATTTAAAACTAGATGTCCTGAACTCAAAAAAATCATAAAAATTTTAGATTTTTTGATTTATTCTCAAGTACGAGTAAGTACGAGGTACGAGTACGAAGTACGAGGCCTAAAATAGGGGTGGTACGAGGTACGAGTACGAGTACGAGCAAAAAAATAAGGGTGGTACGAGGTACGAGTACGAGTACGAGGCCAAAAAAAGAGGTGGTACGAAGTACGAGTACGATACGAGCAAATTTGAAATTTCGAAGCACTGCTCCCTAGTAAGGTTGGCGGATAGTTGGAAAACTTCGGATATCCGGATCGGAATCCGGAATTTTTGATATCTAGATCCGTATTTGGATCCTAAATTTTGGATATCCGTATCCGTTATCCGAACGAATTTCCGGAGGTATTTCCGCTTAAAAAATATTTTTAAAAATGTACAAAAAGTATAAAATTAAACAAATTTGTACATATTTATTCATTGATTTAATTAATCAATTAATACATTGTAATTAATTAAATTAATCAATTAATAAATTATAATTAAAATTGATTGCCAAAAATTTAAATAAATTAATTTATATAAAATTTTAAATAATAAAAGTTAAATTTACACATGTAAAGCATAGCCAAAGGAAAGTTTTCGATAAATAAGAAATAAATGACAAAAAATTACCGTATTTTAAAAATAGACCTCTCCCGTGAATTAAAACTAGAGTTGATCAAGACGAGACCGATACCGAGACCGATACCGAGATTCTCGGCTTTTTTCCAATATCGGTCTCGGTTTTTTCATTCTCGGTCTCGAAACCGATACCGATATTCTCGGTCCATTTCTCGGCGAGAAACGATACTGACTAAAAGAAACAAAATCCTTAATATTGTCCAAGTTTTCGTCCGTAATTTTTTTCGGATATCCGTCCATAACAGAAAAAGTGAATTTTTTCGAATAAGGTCTTCTAAAATTCAAAAAATTTTCGCCTGCGGCGCTGAAATGTTGAATTTTTCGAGCCCTCGCCCGTTAGATTTTCAAGATTTTGATTACAGAGCCTTCCGATTTTCGGCAACTGTTGTTCCCACTAGTGAATTAGGAGGATTTAAAACGATCGGAAGCAGGGATGACATAAAATAAACTACACACTATCAATTAACCATAACTTTTTTCACTTTAAAGTTTTTCATATTTTTTCCGCTTATTTTATAGTGCCTTCAATTCTCTTTCAGAGCATATAAGCCTGATTCCATTATTTTTTCTTAAAGATTAAGCATTTGATAATTTCAACTCCTCCAAAAGTTCAACTCTCTCCATCACTCCCTAGTAAGGTTGGCGGATAGTTGGAAAACCTCGGATATCCGGATCGGAATCCGGAATTTTTGATATCTAGATCCGTATTTGGATCCTAAATTTTGGATATCCGTATCCGTTATCCGAACAGAAATTTCCGGAGGTATTTCCGCTTAAAAAATATTTTTAAAAATGTACAAAAAGTAAAAAATTAAACAAATTTGTACATATTTATTCATTGATTTAATTAATCAATTAATACATTGTAATTAAAATTGATTGCTAAAAATTAAAATAAATTTTAAATAAATTAATTTAAATAAAATTTTAAATAATAAAAGTTAAATTTACAAATGTATAACATAGCCACAGGAATATTTTCAATAAATAAGAAATAAATGACAAAAAATTACCGTATTTCCTAAAATAGTCCTCTCCCGTGAATTAAAGCTCCCGTTTAAATAACACTACTCTTTAAAGGTTAAGTTTTCTATGTTTAAGTGCTCAATAGTGTTTATAAATCACCTATGAAAATCTCAGCTTAACAGGACAACAAGAACCTAGTAAATCTGAAAAAAACTAGGTGTTTTATAATTTCTTAACATATCATATTCAATCAGTTGTTTGAGCCTGTTATTCTGCCTGTACCTAAATATTGTTGGTTATTAATTGATAGTCGTGCATCGAATTTTGGCCCGAAATAGACTTGGTCGGCCGGCCAGATAAAAATGACTCGACGTCGGCTTGACTTGAAAACGGCAACCCTACTTGCAACAAATAGGGATGCAAATCAATATCAACGGTTATCTGATTGTATCTTACTGGCCAGGCTAATCCATGATGTATTCTTCGTCCGTTCCAGACTAATCCTTCCTTCGGCTACATTGTAAACTCTAATTTAGTGTAAAAAATTATTCTTGAGCTATAACCGTTTGAAAATCATAAATAGATTTGTCTAAGACATAGAAATAGCATATCTTAGATCTCGCAAAAAATATAAATTACTTATAAAATCAAAATTTTTAATTTTTATTTTAAAAAATTATTTTTTTATATTTTCTTTTAATGGCAAAAATATAAATTTAAATAATTCCTGAAACTACACAAATAATAATAACAATTGCCATGGCAGCACAATTCCTTTAACAAAAGTATTTATTTTAACTAAAAAATGTATTATATTTACATAATTTCAATAATAATTATAATTTCTCTAGAGATTTAAATAGAGATTTAAAAATTTATGTACAATAATTTTAAAAAATTTGAAAATTTGGTTAGTTTTTTGAACGTTCCAATTAAGTAAAAAAAATTCAGTCTAAAAAATTCAATTATTCAAACAATTTTTTTAAATTTATTTCCTTAGCTTTGCATAAAAATATTTAACAATAAAATTCGTTTGTTGACATAAATAGTTTATGTATTTATAATAAAAAATTTATTTTTATGGTCATCCTTTTTTAAATATTTTTTAAAATTGTTTAAGGTGCGTCCTTTTTCAAAATATTATTTAAAATTTTTAAGATATTTTTCTAACATCCCAGAAAAAAATTAATAATATTTTGAATATTTTAAACAAAATTATTTTTGAATTTCAATAATTTAAAGTTGTGGCAACAGAAATATAAATTTAAAAATTTATCGTGAAAACCTCAACCCCGAACCCCGACATGCCTTCCCCGGCAAACCCCGATCTCCGATACACCCGCCCCCGAAGTGTCGGGTTGGTACCCTAATTTAAACTAAATAAAAGCTCAACAGCCTCTGATATGTATCTAGTATCATAAATGTTTTCAAGATACCTCAACTTTATTCTAATCAAAATAAACAATTTACCTATTTTAATATCCCTTTTTTCAAAAAAATTATTTTTCCTTCCATTAAAAAAGGCAAGAATTAATAACACGTTTTTTACTTGTCAACCCAATTAAAAATAAAATGCGCACGAATTGTTACTTACTTTTATGACTCATCATCAAAAAAGTTTGACTCATCCATTTTATTGAATAAATGAATGGGGTTTTTTGAAAATATTTTTTTATTATTTTTTTCAAATTTTATAGCTTTTATTTTTTTATTTTTGTAGAAATTTAATCTTTTTATAAATTTATTTTTTTCATCATAATTTTAAATAAAATTTCCCTCGGATAAAATAGTTTATTATGTAAAAATTTTTTTAATTTCGAATTCTTCAAAATTATCATATGCATTAGCTTAAATGTTGGGGAAAAACGTTATAATATTTCAAACAGATACGAATTAAGCTCTCAACTTATTTACCGTATTTATTCTAATATAACGACAGTCACTATTTATTATAACGACATCCTAGAAAAAGGTTGAGAAATAAAACGACATGTCGTAATATTAGAATTACTTACATCCTCGTAAAACAAAAATTCAAACTCAGCCAGTCTGTGGGGGATGGTTGCAAGGCTGTCCGCAATTGCGGATTGCGCAAATTGCGTAGTTTTTTGGACTTGCGGACTGCGGATTGCGGCGGAAAATTTTTTTCACTTGCGGACAGCCCTGGATGTTTGAGTGTTAATAAGCTTGTATCAGAGCATTTACCGTCAGACAAACAGGCATAAGATTAAATTCTTACTCTGATTAATTAAAATAATTAATGAGAAATTTAACTAAAAAATATTTTATCTAATTTACTTTAAATTTTAACTTTTTTTAAAATTATTTTAAATTTTTAACTTTCATTTTTAAACCATTTCTTTCTTTTTTTCTTTCTTTAATAGGCATTTATTGATCTTATTTTATTTAGACAGCCATCCCCGACTGTCAGATTGAAAAATGGTGCGGATTGTAATGATGGCTCTTTTTCATGCATCGCTCACTAAAACACCCAACAACCACTCAACAATTTTTATTTTTTTTTGTTGCTCAGAATAAGCTCTTCATAATTCTATAAATATTTATTTTCTTTAAACTTTTTTTTGTTTTAATTTTTTATAAAATTACACATCTATTTTTAAATAATTTATTTTTCATGAAATAATTAATTTCTGAAGGATAATTGAAAAAATAGTTTTTTATGTTAATAAATGTTTAGAGTTTGCATTTCTTTTGTTTGTATATAACTTAATGATCATGAAATCAGCTAATAGAACAATAGAGAGATTTAATCTTGAAATTTTTATTTATTTTTAAGTTAAATTTGCGCTTCTATACACTCAACCTTTCTAAGTTAATTTAATATTGTATTAATATTTTAATATACCGTAATTTCTCGATTAATTCCCCTCCCTCGAATAATTCCCTCTCTAGATTAATTCCCCATGCTAGAGATGGGTTGAAACAATAATTCCCCACCCCCAAATACCCTACTGTACGTTCAAATGCTAGAACTCGAATAATTCCCCTCCCACGATTACTTTCCCATGCCAAGGAAGGGTTGAAAAAATAATTCCCCAGGGGAATTAATCGAGAAAATACGGTAACTTTCTGCACAGTCAGGATCAGCCAACCCTATATCCTCTATGTCCCATTTTCTTATGTTTAAAATTTTTGGAATTTATTAGACATTGGGCAGAAGAGTTACCTAACTATGTAATACATTATTTTAGTTACACCTTATTTTTACGTATAATTTTTTGATTCCAAAATTTTTTAATTAAAATCGAGGTCCTACTTTTATCCCTCAAGTGATATCCTTTAATAATTACATATTAAAATATGTCTTCTTCACCATTGAGAGCTTCAATTATAGTAAGTGCTATAGTATTCACAGCTATTGGAATGGGTCTTTCAATTGCTGGATTATTAAGTCCTTCCTGGCAGGTTTTTAATTTAAATAATTTTATTCATAAAAATTTTAAATTTAAAAAGGTAGTTAATTTGCAAGAATATAATTCTGTCCACGAACACGGACTTTGGCTCGACTGTATTAGACACATGAGGGATGTTACTGGAGTTTTGTTAAGGAGGTAATTAATAATGGAGACGTGACTGGGAGGGTCGTACTGGAATATCTTCATCTCGAAAAATATCGAATCTCGATAATCTTGATTTTTTGTTCGTGTAAGCATGATTCACCTAGAGCATTTAAAAGGCATAGGCGGGGGTTGAACTATCTAAAAGGATAAAAAAGAACATTATTCGATGCCCCGTTAGCTCACATCGATGGTAGAGCTCCTTTATATGGTGAGCGAAAGCGCCTAGCAATAACTGTCATGTGGTCGCAGGTTCGAATCCTGGCTGGTGGCTCAACTTTTGCTAAAATCTTTCTTTCGAGATATGATTCGTTTATTTTTGACGGATCCAAAAAAGTTTAGTTATTCTTGTAACTCGGTTCGGATATCGAATGATATAAGAGGATTTGCCAGGTCTTGAAACTATCCTCTGACTAATAGTGAGATATTAGGACTGATTGAATGCTCTTTCAAAAATTTTCCTAAATGATTTTTTGAATATTTTTTCGAGATATCACTTTCTAATACCTCAAATCCTGACTATATTTATTATTTACTTTTAATAATTTTAAAATATATTTAAAGGTATTTAACTGAAACTGAACCTCTTCATTGTGTCTACAAATTCGATTATGACAAGCGAGTGAATTTATTATAATAATAATTAAGGGCATGGTCCCACCCACCTACCGAAAATTTATAGAAATTTGTTTCTCCTTTTTATCCAATACTTTAAATTAATAGTTCCTGCTTTATAACAATTAATTAACTGGATATATTTTTAATTTTTAAAGGTATTCTGGGACTTTTGATATTGAAGATGATAATTCTCCTGTTGGGGAGGTTAATAGACATAAATTTTATGGATGGCATACAGCAACGCTTATAATGATTGTTTGTTTATTTTCTTGAAAGGATTTAATTTTTTCGAAAATTTAAAATTTATAGGAAAACTTTAAAATTTCTTATAAAAATTTTAATAATTTATTCTTAAATTCCATTATAATTTATTTAGATAATAGCCTTGATCACAGGCTTTTGTTCAATTTGTATAGGTGCTTGTAGTTGTGCTATTCCGTCATTAACTTTGATTTTTACGACTACAATTTTATTAACTAGTATGATTTTTGAATAATTAGTTTTCTAATATGTACAAAAATAGGAACTCGTTTATAGATCCCGAAAAAAATTTTTACGAAACATCTCAAAATTTGAAAAGAAAATCCAATATTATGATTTTTCCAACTAATTAGGATTTTTAGAGAATAAATCCTTGAATCACAGTTAATTTTTTAATATCTATCCTTACATATACATTAATACACTCTGTTCCAAAATTATAAGGTCACACTATTTTTTTATCATATCTCATAGGAAAAGCGTCGAAATCTTATAAGTGAATTTTTTCGGAAAATAAAATTATTGCTATCTTGTAGCAAATTTCAAGGGCTTTCAAATAAGCCCAAAATAGATTTTTATTTCACCTGTAACGGGTCGAAATATTTTTTAATATTTAACATCAACACCGGGTTTTCCGTTGATTTTCGGGCTTCAAGATCTCGATGATGGGAATATATTAGAACTTCATTTCTTTTGTATTTCTTATCAATATTGATAGATATGTTCACAAATATTTTTTTGGGTTTTTTCCACTATTAAAAATTTATAAAACAAAGGTGACCTTATAATTATGGAACACTTTAAATTCATTTAAATTTCAGCTTTTCTTTCCTCTGTGGCTGAGGGTGTTTTCTTTTTCTTTTCACATCGTGCTGATAATCGTTTTGTTAAAGGAATTGTTGGCACTTATGAAGTAAACTTAAATAATTTTAAAAAAATATTATCAAAATATTTCTATTAGCAACGTGTTGGTTTAGCTTTCTTTTTACAAATGGGTGCATGTTTCTTCCATTTTATCGCTTTCCTTATTGCAATGATGGCTACATTGTACAATATTGTTTTTATTTTTAAAATTTCTAAATTTCTAGTTTTGCTTTTTCTTCCAAAAATTCTTCATTAAATCATGCACATTCTTTATCAGCAAATTCGTTAAAATCAAATATTACTGGAATGGGAAGGTGAATGATTTTCTTTTATTAATCAGTGTTCCGTATAGCTGTTAGCCGCCCATTATCTAAGCTATACATCGCCACTAACTTATCCTTGGGTAAGCGATAGGGAAGTAGGCTGGAATAAGCTAAGGAAGATCACTTTTTCATTCCTTCAACAGAGTTGCCGGCCAATCCATCGAGACTTATAGGGAAGACGTCTCCCTATATTCCCCCACTGCGTGTGATTCACATATTTCTGTACTCTGCGGAGTTCTCACATGATTACAAGTATGCGCGACTTTGCCTATAACATCAACTAGACAACGAACCACGGGTACACCCCAAACTACCGCGAGCCCAACCTACCGCCGAGGCTATAACTTCGTTCAAAATTGCCGAATCTGAGACAACTTGGTATGGTTGGATTCAGCTCGTCGAGGCGTATCAAACCATACCAAGGCGATTCGGATTCGACAATTCTGAAAGAAGTTATAGCCTCGGCAGTAGGTTGGGCTACGGATGTTGGCCTGCTCCCATGAGGCACTGAGGAACGGGACCAACCGCTTTACTATATTAAAACTAAATTTAATTTTATTGTAATCATAAAAATAATTTTTATTTTGGCATAACTAAGGCTTAAACAACCATATATCAACTCGTTTTAATTCTATGAATTTTTAATTTATTAGAACCACAAATCTGTCTGATCCAACACTCCGCCCACTCTTACGTCCAGCGCCCCCTCCACCTCCACAGTCTCAATCTCGTCCTGGTTCTTCTACAGCTCTGCAAAATTTTGATTATATGGGACATGAAGAAACACCCCAAGGATCTCTTTCGCTCAATTCTGGTGCACCTCCTCTTCCACCACATAATTTAATGACAACACAACAGCAATATGCATTTCCATCAGCAAAATCTTCATCCCTTCGACACGAATCGTGAGGATTTTATTTTAAGTAAAAAATTTCTTTTCACACATAGTTTGTTGATAAAAAGCGATTTTTTAATCGCATCAAGTTTATATATTATGGGAGGATAATAAAAAAATTCACATTTTTTGCTAAAACTTGAACAAATACAACGGATAGTTTTTTAGAATATACAGGACCATGTCCGGGAGAGGGTTCTTAACTCGACCCAGGTTTTAGGGGTTAAAACTAGTGTTCGACACATTTCAGTACTATAGCGGTACTACCGATATTACTGACTGTACTTTTCGTTACTACTGGTATGGTATTGGAAAAATCAATTTAAACTACTGAAAACCTGAGTTCATAAAATTATCATGTTCATGGTTACCAAATCCTGAAAACTCTGCCAAAGTCTTTCCATTGACCAAAGTCTAAAATAATTAGTGGAATAATTAGTTTTTGTATAAAATCTAATAGGTATATAAGATCATAAGTTAGTTAATTAGCTAAAACTATGTTTAGCTTTCAAAAATAAGAGTAGTGCAATTAGTTTTATTTACATGTAATTAAAAAGTATTTTCATATATAAAATATTTAGTATAACTTTTCTCATATTAAGCAAATGAATTCTAATTTCGCGTCGAAGGCACGAAAAAAGACAAAAAATATTTTTAAATTTAAAAGGTCAACAGAATTTGACCACCAAATATTTACCCAAGAACAAATAAACCAACAACAACCAACACCAAAAACACGTTCACAATATTATTCTAGACAAAATGAGAGATTTGAACGTGTACAAGTTGCTGATTCTATGCCAGAATTAAGTGGAAGGATAAGCCAAAAATCAGAAACTTGTGTTTAATAAAATTTTTAAAAATAAGAGAAGATCTCTATATTTGAATCTGAAAATTTTTTGTATAAATAATTTTTTAATAATTTTAATTTGTTTTTATTTTATCTGAATTTTAAAAGAATACAGCGTGACCAGAAAGTAAATTGTCCTATTTTTGTTTTGTTTTATATTAACGGAAGCCCTCAAAGATATATCTTAAGATATATCATATTTTAGTTGTTTCTTGTTGTTTTTTGATCATCTTTTTATTTTATTTATCTTTTATGACCCCCAGGGTCTGTATTAAGGTATCCTACCGCAAGCTGGAATTTTTAAGCGTCAGACGCTTTTAAAATATTAACTATCATTGTTATGTATTAGCTGAGGTATTATTTTGGATTTGAAATAGCTCGATCCATCGAGTCTTATAGGGATCTATATTTCTATACTCTACGGAATGAGTTCATATACATATAATTGCAACATGCGCGTCTATGCTACAACATCAACTCAACAAAAAGGCACTTGGAAACGAAAAAAAAATTTATTTAAAATTTATTTTAATTTTTTCGCAATCAATTTTAAAAATTTAAATTAAATTATTAATTGATTAATTAAATCCCTAAATAAAATTTTTTAAGCGGAAATTACTAGAGAGTGGTGGAGAAAGAATTTTGCTAAGAGAGAGAGATAAATTAATTCTCTTTGAAATAAGTGCCCGCTTTTTGCATGTGAAAGTCAAAGCAATTTAATAATTTCGATTTTCGAGTAATTTTAAATTTCGACTTTTTAGTTGTTTTTGTTAATTTGCGAAATTCTTCAAACTTTTGATTTTTTGCCATAACAAGTAAGAATTCCTTTTTCTTGGAAGAATTTCTTTTTAAAAAATTAATTCCATTATGTTATAAAATTGACATCATGGAATGAGCCCTGTTGGTAGAATTTTTTATTTAAACATATTTTTATATAAGTGAGGACAAAAAAGAATTTCTTCATTTCAGCTCATGTTTGCAATGACAATGATTTAAGCAGACATGTGATAAAGTGGCGGATTCGTCCCATAGAATGAGACGCGCGGATTCGTCCCACTCGGATTCGTCCCATCTCAAAATGTCCAGAAGAGTAAAAATACTCACTTTGTCGAACTAAAAATTAAAAACGAGTAATAATAAAAACATGAGCAATCTTTCTACAAAGAACTTCAAAACCTTAATAAAAGCTACAAACACTCAAAAACACAAAGTAAAAAGTAAAATTTTTATCGAATTCGTCAAAAATAACTATAAAAAATCACTAAACTAGAATCAGCATCAAAAATAAAAAAATAACCGGTAAATAAAAGCATTAAACTAGAAAATCAAATTTTATGAAAAAAACCAAAAATAAATCAAATTCGTGTCATCGATAATTTAAAAGAAACCGATGGATGTGAAAAGACCAAAACAACATCTTTCTCAAGACGGTGTCATCGTTTATATTTGTTCGTAAATCGGCCAAAACATGAGAAGGTTTCGATCGTGGAAGCTCACTGATCTGACTACAAATTTGCATTCTAAGCTCATTTGCTTGCTTTCTTTGTGGATTTGAGGGGTGATTGTGTTCCTGCTCCCCTATAATTCCCAATATTTCTCCCTCTACTTCATTCGTAATTTTGGCAGTAGCTTTTCAATCACGATTGGCACAACGGAAACTATTTCAACGTTTACGTGTGTAACAAAATCCTTTAATTAAATTATAATTAGTCAGATTAATCAAAAAACCTGCATGTCAAAGGCACAATTTTTCCTTTTCTGTCATTCCAACCTCAAAATGAATAAGTTGTGATTCATAATCGGAATCATCATTATCAAATTCACTGCTTACGTTGAATTGATTTTCGTTGTTTTCCAAATTGCTTTGATGCAACGACGAAGTCTGATTAATCGAAAAATCCTCTAACCGCTGCCGTTTCTGAGCTCGTGCTAAATTTTCAAGCAGGCTTCTAATCATTTTGAATACATAATCTAATAATACTTAGAAATGAAAGTCAATATCGAGAAAATGAAAACATGAAAAGACATTATTAACATATTGGGACGAATCCGCACTTTTTGTTCAAGGGGACGAATCCAAGTGGGCCGAATCCGCGCTGGGACGAATCCGAGTGCAGCCGATAAAAGTGCAATTTTTAATATTACCGCTATCAAACCTTTAAATATTTTCTAAAATTGAATAAATACAAAAAATTTAAATCGAAAACCGGTAGAAAAAGCGTTTAAATCGAAATTTCGAATAAAAAAATATATTTAAAAATAATCGAAAATTCGATAGACACTGCTCGCTTCGTCCTCTCGTTAATGTCTTAAGCTATCCTTTTCTACACCTCTTTAATTCAGAGAGAAATTTATTTTCAATGTTTTACAAGATAGATTATTAGAGAAGAAAAGACAACTCGGCTACGACCCTACCCAAATCCACAAATTGAAAGAGATGTTTACTATTTTAAATCGAAATTTCAAAAGACCTCTCCCCGCAACATCCTCCTGTTAGCTATGTCTTAAGCCCTCTCAATTACACTTTCCTTGTCTACACTTCTTTAATTCAGAGAGAGAAATTTATTTTCAATGTTTTACAAGATAGATTATTAGAGAAGAAAAGAGTGATGAAGAAAGAATTTTATTAGGAGAGAGAGACAAATTAATTTTCATTGAAATAAGTGCGCGTTTTTTGCATGTGAAAGTAAAAGCAATTTCATAATTTCGATTTCCGAGTTTTCTTTAAATCTCGACTTTTTACTTGTTTTTTCAATTTCCGAATTTCTGCAAACTAACAATTTGAATTCTTTTTTCTTGGAAGAAATTCTTTAAAAAATTAATTCCATTATGTCATAAAATTGACATCATGGAATGAGCCCTGCTGGTAGAATTTTTTATTTACACATATTTTCTATTAGTGAGGACAAAACCGACAGAATTTCTTTATTCCAGTTTTTGTTTGTAATGACTATTGAACCTCAGCTGGTATGGATGGAGAAGTTCCAAAATTTCACTGGAACGGGTTTCAGTTCCTGAACTGGAACTTCTACATCACTGCAGACATGTGATAAAATTGCAATTTTAATGGCTATCAAACTTTTATATATTTTCTAAAATTGAATAAAGAAATAAAATTAAAATCGAAAACCAAAAAAAGCCTTTAAATCGAAAATTCGAAAAACCTATTCTCGCTGCCTCCTCCCGTTAGCTATGTCTTAAGCCCTCACCATTACCCAATCCTTGTATATTTAGAATGTCTTACAAGATAGATTATTAGAGAAAAAAAAGAATTCGATTAGCGCCCTACCCAAATTCACGAATTGAAAGAGATGTTTACTATTTTAAATCGAAATTTCAAAAGACCTCTACCCGCAACATCCTCCTGTTAGCTATGTCTTAAGCCCTCTCAATTACACTATCCTTTTCTACACCTCTTTAATTCAGAGAGAGATTTATTTTCAATGTCTTGCAAGCGAGAGTATTAGAGAAGAAAAGACAACTCGCTTACAACTCTACCCAAATCCACGAATTTTAAAGGTTTATATTTTATTCCAGAGATCCTCCCATTTTTGAAATCGTTTTAAGTGATCGAATTTATCTACCTTTTTAGAAAAAAGGTACAGCTTCTCCAGAGCTTCGGAATGATATAAAATTTATTTGTATTGAATCAAGAAAAAAAAATAATAGCCGAAAAGATTCGGCTGGCTCTGTTTGCTGTCGTGTAACGAAGAGTCCAGCAGAAGTGGGGAGTATTAGGGGAGTATTATTTAAGCGGGAGTTTTAATTTACGGAGGGAGGACTATTTTAGGAAATACAGTAATTTTTTAGTCATTTTATTCTCATTTATCGAAAACATTCCTGTAGCTATGTTTTACATTTGTAAATTTAACTTTTATTATTTAAAATCTTTATATAAACTAATTTATTTAAAATTTATTTTAAAATTTATATTAAAACATAATTTCGATTTCCGTGTCTCCTCAAATTTTGAATTTTTAGCGGTCTTTTCGATTTACGAAATTCTGCAAGTTTTCGGGGAGGCGGCACCACGGTGAGGGGCAGAACGGGGAATTTTCATAAAATCTCTCAAATTCCCCGACTTTCGGGGTCGGGGAACAACAGTAAAGCAGCTGGGCTATAGCTATTTCTCTCCTTTAGCTAGTACAAAAGGTTATTCGGCGG